ATCATGTATGAACATGATAGCAACTTTCACGATAGTTACTTATGGACAAAAAATGTTTAGACTATTACGAATCAACTGCTTTATCGAAACCGATTTAAATCTCTAATATATATTATTACCTATATTTGAAGCGTCGTTAAAACCTAATAATAAGTACATTGTTTTTCTGTACAGAATCTACAGTTGTATAACGCGTAAACAAATACATCCGACGAAGTCATACATTTTTCATCAATCGAATTTTATCAATTTTGTCGTTTACGCGTATTTAACAGTAATATTATATGTTTGGGTTGGGGTAGAAAAATGTATCATGACGATTATCCCATACTAGGTATAATAAAAATCCTTTGAAGAAGCTATATATGGATTCAGCTAACGGACAATATAATAATTATTAATACGCGATAAGAAAAGTTAGTTTTTGTTTACTCATTTTATTTTTTTTTATCCCACAATAATATATTTGTATACGTAACAAAAAAAAAAGAGCTGATACTGGGGATCGGAGCGGCCACTGTTGTAGATGAGAAATTAGCAAGGTAGTATACGTAAGGTTATTTTATTTATATCTGTAAGCAACGATAAACGATTGCTTGACAAAAGACGATTCCGAGCGCAGGTCGGTTACACATAATTTGAAGTGCCGTAATTTTTTTTGCGATTTTCGATTATATTTGATTTCAAAAAAGCTTATTAAAAAAAAAAATCCGATGATTTTGGAAATTTACCATGTCTAGGCAAATTTAGTATAAATATTATTATCAAATTTCAAGTCTCTACTTGTATTTATAACCGAACTATAGCAAAAAACCACCCAAAAATTAAAATTCTTTAAAAAACTCAAAAGTGGCTCAAAAGTTTTGGCGATGGTACCACAAGAGAGTAAAATCGAAAATCAAAAAAAAAAGGCCTCTTTAAAATACCATTTAGACAACTTGAGCTTTCATAAAAGTTGCTACACGTAAAAATCGAAGCAAATTTACTAGGATAAAACGTGTCCGCAGATTAGATAAAAAAATAAAAAAAAAAACATCTTAGTAAAACCAATAGCTCCCTCGCTACGCTCGGAATCTGAAAACAACAACAAAAAACACACGTAACCGAAGACAAACGTGTCAAAATTGAAAAATACACTCGTACATCACTGCAGACGCGTGGTAATCATTCCGGACGTCGCGTCGTATTATTGGCACTTCTGTCGCTGCGCTATTGATAATATTATTAGCCGTCGCATGAAAGTGAAATCTTCCGTGACCGGAATTGAACGATTTTCGTCCCAGGTGTAGTAGCAATGCGTTTGCGGGTATTATGACTTATAATCTATGTAATAGCCCTATAATTTTAACACACGTGACGCGATATCGATAATTACGTAAAAATAAAATATCTATATTCTTTGTACACGTCATATTTGTTATTATAAACAGTGCCTTCGGAAATCTCGGCCGGTATAGAAAAACGCACCGAACCCGCGTGTTGGCGTGCCCGGGAATTTGAAAAACGAAAATGTAGACAATGTTGCATTATTCATAAATAAATCGTAGAACGTTCATGTTTACCCAACTCGACAATGGGGGATTTGAAACTCGGATCCAATAAAACCAAATTTCAATCAAACTTTTACTTGTGACTCGGCTGGACTACACGCATTCCTGGATTAAATTACTGAACACGCGTCCATAATTGCTGTATCAAAAACTTAATTGGGAGTAGGGGGAATATGACCCGTACGCACACCGCCGAACCCGCGAAAACGCCCCGTAAATAAAGTCTTGGGCGGGTATTACTGCGAAATTATTTCAAACACAAAACAAAAACCGAACACAAAGTACTCCTCGCCCTCTTTTAATATTCGGCAATCGCCGATCGACCGCGACGACTACCGACCTAAACTGCGGTAGGTATTGGTAACCGCAATTGCCGTGACATATAATAAATAATAATATTAAATTTATCCGGCGACGACCTTAACCCCGAGCCCACGATTCCGCGCGGTGAACTTCACAATTAAGAACCCGATCGAATTATACCTGTGTAGAACATTGATTTTATAACAGTCTGTTATAAGATCAATGATTTATATATATATATATATATTTTTAATAGTTTGGGGAGATCTGATTTTTTTTTAAGAAATTTTGTTAGATAGAATTTTTTTTATAAAACTGTTTGGAATGTTGACAAAATACGTTTCAAATAAAGTACAGCCAAACGGAAAATCAGCAAATTTTTAACGCAAACGATTTAATAGTCATGTATAGGTTTAACCGAAAAAGTGGTATTAAAAAAACACGCATACATTATAGGCTCAAAATTCATTTTTTTTTTACATATATAGAATCAATGACTTTGCACAGAATTTTTCAATTGAGGAGAGGGGTTAAACATTATAGTAAATGAAAATTAGAATGCAATCAAAATATATCTAAATCGATTATATATATATAGCAATTTCTTCGAGATTATTTTGTCACATATACGTAGGGTAAGTATAACACAGTGCCCTTGTGTATAATAGATCCCGCGAGTTACACAAAACTTACACGCGGTTTCTTGCGCGGATATTTTACAGAATTTTTTATTAATTACTTTTCCAATAGTTTAAAAAAATTAAAATACACGAAAATTAAGTGGAGTTTTATTTTAAGCCGCCTCAGGAACGCGATTTTTTTGAATTCGGTAATAGGTATATTTTAATTTATTATTTTTTTTTTTTGCAATCATTTATCTCCGTTTGTAAATAACTATTATTTTTTGATAAATATACATCGTAATTTATACAATCGTATATAGATCGTGTAAAAAAACCGCGGAAGACAATAAGAAGACCCGGTGACCGGAACAATGCGCAGAGCTCGACCGACCGCCAGAGAAAGAGCAATGTAGACCACCGCCGGCGCCGTAATTAGTCCGATTCGTATTTACTTTTATTTTTTCCTCGTTCTTTCTTTCTTTCTTTCATATTTTATTCAACTGCCACGGCGTGATAACGGACGATTATTTTAATCTGATCCACGGTTTTTTTACGCCGAAAATTCCGGAACAATGCTGATGCAACAATTATATTATTATTATTCTGTGCGCGCGCACACATCGCGTTCGGAAGTTGTGAAAACGTTTTGTTTTTTTTTTTTTTTTTTTTTTTTCTGAGCTCATACTAAGACGGAGCATTATAAATTGTTATCTAATTGCTGTAGTTAACACGAAAAAATTATGTACCTAATATTCTTGTACACATCACGTATATACGAGTATACACGGTCCGTTTACAACGAGACTGTTGCCAGGTCTCGACTCTTGGGCCCGATGCGTTTTTACGATTATTATTTAAAATTTCTACATGATACTTTTCACGCCCATCATCGTTGTCGTCGTCGTCATTAATAAAATTACGATCGGGCCGGTTCAAAAAGCGCGTCACCATCGATTTCTCGGAAAAATAAACGTCATTAGAAGAGTCGAACAATAATAACAATTTCTCTCCGCAAAGTCGTTAAAAATGTACAATAATAACAAAAACACGTTTTATCAATTTAGTCACGTGTGTACAGATTTAAATTTTAAACGTTACCTAACTTTTTACAAATTTAATACTCGTGTTTTCGAAAACTATTTAATTCACCTATATGGTTAATTTATTATTTTTGTCTATTAAGTTTAGTTTTCATTTTATATAATCTCGAAATTTTACAGTTAATATTGAGACTTAAAAAAATTTTTTATTTAAGTATACACTGTATACTTTTTTTTTCACATTATATTGTCGGCTAATCACAGCGGTGGATCTGAAGCTCATTTAAGGGGGAGCGAATTTCTATCGTAAGTACTGAAAAACACGTTTCGGAAGAAGACCAAAACTTTGTAGATTCATATTTTTTTCTCATTTAAACTTACACCACAAAACTCCTCTCCCAGTTACAACCTCGGGGTTATCATCCACTGGCTACCTAGCAAAACCTCGAAAGTCCATTTAAAAAAATTTCACTGTGGAATCGACTATGCCAGACTTGTACCAAAAATAAAAAAAATTTAAATGTCAACTTACGAAGTTTTGTTTTTAAAGCTATAAACATTATGTTATTTATATTAAGTTGTTTGAGATATGAATTAAATATTATATTATTAATTGATTCACTTTAATGGCACAAAATCATTCGACGACTCACATTCACTTTAATTCACACAAGGAAAATCACCCTTCTCAATACACAAACAAGTTACAGTAAACTTTTGGAAAATATGCTACGCCAGCATTATAATAAAAATTCGTTTTTTAGAATTGTATACAATTTTTGTTGAGTGAGTAGGGAAGGGAATTTTGAAATTTTAACTAATTATGTTTGAACTTCAATTATATCCGCCACTGGGTTAGCTATGACTAATATGAGAAAAATTATTAATGAAAATAGTATAAGTTTTTTTTTTTTTTTTTCAGAGAGTGCCGAAACCTCCCTTTCCCCCTTACTATCGTAGTTCTAGTGAGAACGTATTGAACGATTCCAAATATCCTGACTATGCCACAGCGTATAGATATGTATAGTGTATAATACACCGGTTTTTGGATAGAATGCAGAACACCAGACATTTTTAACATATAATATATCAGGGCTGGCCAGACGGTCGATGGCGATCGACCGGTAGACCGAGGACGGTTTGTATTACAGTCAAATTCGCTTATTACGATGCCGTATACAACGATATTCCGGGTAAAACGATTCCAAACAATGTATTTGGTTGGTTTTATATGTTATGTGTAGTACTTTTATTCGTATATAACGATATCGGTTATAACGATAATCCGGATATAGCGATGTTATTTTGAAACGAAAATTGGTTTTTTTAATCGCCTATAGCAATTTGATTTCGTTCGAAGCGGTAATTCTTAATCTTATCTGTAACAAATAATGTGTCTTGCACGACTGTATTGTATACGGCATACGTTTCTTAGTCGCCGTTTTGATTGATATCCGTTTAGACACGTTCCGTATAAGTTAAAAATGTCAAATAAAAGACGACGTTGTTTCACTATCGTTGAAAAAGTGAAAATAATTGAACGTTTAGAAAGTGGTGTTTCTAATAAAGATCTTTGCCAAGAACTGAGAATCAGTCAATCAACTCTATCTACCATATGGAAATCAAAGGACCAAATAAAAAGCGTTTTTCAAAAAGACTTTTCACATCCAACAAAAGATTAAAATGTAGCCAACATCAAGACGTCGAACAGGCTCTCCTGGAATGGTTCAAAATACAACGATCTAAAAATATTCCAATAAATGGCACCGATACTTCAAGAAAAAGCGACCGAATTCGGGAAGCGTTTTAAAAAAATAGATTTTCAATGTTCTTCTTCTTGGATTACCCGTTTTCGTCATAGACACAATATCGTTTTTGGAAAAATAAGTGGAGAATCGGCAAGCGTTCCTGTTGGTGTTTCGGAAAATTGACTGGAACACGTTTGGCCTAATTTGCGTAAAAATTATGCAGATTGTGACATTTATAACGCTGATGAAACCTGATTGTTTTATCGTCTAACACCGTATCAAACATTACGTTTTAAAGGGGAAACATACAGTGGTGGTAAATTATCTAAAGAGCGATTCACGATTCTTGTAGCCTCTAATATGACTGATTCTTACAAAAAAAAACCTGTTGGTAATTAAAAAATCTAAGACTCCGAGATGTTTTAAAAATGTCAAAAACTTGACAGTCGACTACAAAAGCAATAAAAAAGTATGGATGACCGGAAACATATTTTCCGACTGGTTAAAAGAATGGGATAAACAACTGACAAAGGAAAAACGGCATATCCTATTGACTGTAGATAATTGTCCGGCTCATTCTCCTATTCAAAATATCGAATTCATAAAGTTGATTTTTCTCCCTCCAAACACGACCTCTGTGTTACAACCTATGGATCAAGATATTATCAAAGCTTTAAAAGTAAAATTTTGGAAAAAACTAGTACATTATTAATCAAGAGGAACAGGGAAAAGATATTAAAATTTCAGTATTAAATGCAATTTTAATGATCTCCGATGCACGGAATGATGATTCTATCACTACAATAAGAAACTGTTCCCACCACGCTGGATTTAAGGCTTCGGTAAACGAAAAAACAGAGAAAGAAATAGTAAGTGGCAATAATTTGGACACAGAGTGCTTTTCTGAAGAAAACTTACAAAGTTTTGCGGAGGTTGACGATGCTCTTTTGACCAACAAAGAACTCAGTGAAGGAGAAATTTTCAAGTCTATTTTGAATGCAAATAATGATGAGTGTGAACAAACTGACGAAGAGAGCGAAGAAAACGAATTTAAAGTAACGTCTATTTCGGAAATGTATTTTTATATTGATCAGGTGCATAATTTTGTTTCGATAAACAGTGATATAAATACATACTGTACGCCAGAAGTATCAATTACATTAAACAATATTTCTAATTTTGTTAAAAAATCTTATTCAAATTATAAACAAACCACTATAATAGATTATTTTTCAAACAAATCGTAAACATTTACTATATATAATATGTACTTTTATTAAAAATTATAAATACCTTGAATGTTAAAATATGTAATCTTAAATAAAATTACACAGTAAAACATATGTTTAATAAATCGATTTAAAAAAAAATCAAGTTAATTTTTATAATCCGGATATAACGAAGTTCGGTTATAACGATCAGATTCCCTAGGTCCCTTAAAGATCGTTATAAGCGAATTTGTATTTAATTTAAACATTTTGGGGAGGGGTTGAACCCCTTCTGTATACGGGGTTGGTACGGAGTGATGAACCACAACAACCACAAAAAAACCAACGGTGGCCCGGAGTGGATGCTCGAAAGTCCTTTCCGGTGACTTAAAGTCACTCATAATTACCGAGCTTTTCGTAAAGTTTAGTCCACTTGAATTGTTCATCTGAAGAACATTGGCATTTAGATTTATCGTCTGTAGTCTTATTGTGTTTCATCAATATATCACAAAATCGACTTGCAACTGCATACGTGATGCCGTCATCTGTTTCACTGGTGCAGTCATCACGGATGGAATCATCTTTTGAAATATCGGAAATGTTCTTGTCATCGTGTCCTATCTCTTCCCTTTGCGCTCCGAAGAGTCCGATTTCATTAACGTGGTTAAAAATTTCTCTCGATCTGTCTTCGACCCACGGAGAACAATATTCAATATTTTCCGACCAATGGAATCGATGTTCGAAAGTGAGATTCGTCTCTATGTATTCGTCAAATTCACCAGATCTTTTGCATTCGTCCTGTAAAATTCAATATACAGTTTTATTTTCCTGTGTGTAGCTTTCATCAGTTTCCAAAAAAGTAAAAACAATAATGATAATTTAATTTTAAACTATGATTACAACACACATTGTCAATACCAAAAGGAGAATGTATACGGTGAAAAACGAATGTCTAGTATCAGCAAAACGTATAAAACGAATCGATGTAATTTAATTATTATTCGGGATTTCAAACTATCTGTTACCGAGTAGGTCGTTCCTTTACCAGGAAGAAACCATTCGAAAGTAGCATTTGAACTGCCGATGTTCGAGTTTTTCGTGTTGAACAATAGATGTTTTTTTTTGATTACGCTCGAATTTCGCAATTTATTAACGAGTGCGTTGTTGTACAGCAAATCGTCAGAACTCTTGTACTTGGACGAATTCGACGGGTTTTGCATAGGTTGAAGACTGTTGACGGACGATTTTGTTGAAAACGGTGTTAGCT